GTCAAGATGAAGATCAAAACAGTAGTAACCTAGTAAAGAGTGGTAGCTGTGAAACCTCAACTGTGTGTGGAGATAATGGTGGAAAAAAAGTAGTGGAATCATGATTAAATGCAGGGCAAGTTATGTATCCAGCGTGTATGCATGAGTGTAGTGGAATGAAGGGGAGACAATATGCAGGTTACATAATCAAAGTGTAACCACAATACACAGGCTGCATATGGAGGAAAACCTCGGGCAATTCCAACAGTGTAAAATGTTAATTTCATTGTGAAAATACCAACAAAAGAATCTGCCAACACTAACGTGAGCATGTTGGCAAAAACATGATTGCAAACTGAAGCAGCTGCTGATCACTTGCGGCCCCTACATGCTGGTTAAGAGGAGTGAGGAGTCAGCAGTCAATGGTGGTATAAAACAGAGCAGTCAGTAAAGTAGGTTTTCTTTTAAATTGTGAATCATCACAACCACAAAAGGTTCTTGTAATAAATGTGCCCAAAAAATATGAGGGTGATGGGTCCAGTTGTATGAGATTAGCAACAGATAGATACATACATGGACACACGTACACTATCAAACACAGGATCTTTACACCTGATGGATACAGCTTACACCTGATGGAGATCATAAAGCAAACCGTTCAGCCAGTCTTGGTATGAGCAGTAGCTTATTGTAGTTAAAATTAGTTCATCTTCGCAAGATAGATACTACTACATAAGTTCACTGACTTTATGACTCTTCTATACTTGTATGACTACATTTCAGCATTTGGCATTATCCCATAATAGGAAAAATGTCCAGCTGCGACTACAAACCCCATCCCCTACAAACCATGCCTATTAATAATAATATAATTAATATAATCTGTTGGTGAAGGCAGTAAAGCAGCTGCAGAGTCCAAATGTCTCCTCGAACACTCCCACTTGTACACAAAGCTAAGGTAGCTGAGGAATATAGTGCACTATAGCAGATCAAAAAGTAAATTGAAAAGGGTAAAAGGTTTTAGCAACTGTTAAGCAGCAAGAAATAAAGATAACCTTGTCTATGCCTTTGAGCCAAAATAATTAAGGAACATTCAGCGCAAAATAATGTGGTCTATTCAATGAATGAATTCAAACAAAAGCTGACTTAGGAACACAAAATAAATATAAAAAGGTGTTTTAGCAACTATTAAGAAATAATGAGGATAAACTATGAATTGTGTTAGCCTAACTGCTAAAAATATTATTTAGATGTAGTTTTCATATATTTTATATGGTGAATAATTGAACAACTTTTGCAAACGCATAGTTTTTTCTCCCATGTATGCTGTGAAGACCCGCCCCTCCTGTGCCTCTGATTGGGCCTGACCCTGACAAACACATGCATTTAACATAGGCATATTATAACTTAAAAACATTTTTTGCGGGGCGCCCAGTTAGCTCAGTCGGTAGAGCTGGCGACCCATATACTGAGTTGCTGCAGCAGCCCGGCTTCAAATCCGGCCTGCGGCCCTTTGCTGCGTGTCATCCCCTCTCTCTCCACC